AAACTTCTGGAGCACAGCCTGGGGGCAGAGCCAGGGTCGGTGGGGTGGGCTGGGGCTTGGGACCACCCACCTGCCCGCCTGCCCAGGTGCCCTCACCTCTGTCTGGTTCTCCAGGGCCACATCAGAGGCCAGCAGAGCCACAACCGTGTCCCGGGAGGTGATGCTCCACTGGCCGATCTCGGTGCAGGAGTAGAGGTAGACCAGCGAGGTGATGAGCCGCAGCTGATACTCCGGGAGGCCTTGTGGGTAGATCTGAGCAGGTGGGCAGGGCCGGGCAGGGTCAGCAGAGGTGCCGCGCCCACCGGGCCTCCCCATCCCCCCCACCCAGCCGTGCACCTGCTCGAGCTTGGCCTTGACCACGCGCTGGCACTCAGTGGGCAGTGGGTGCTGCAGCAGGGGTTCCAGGTTGGTTCTGAGGACGTGGCCATCCAGGCAGGACTCAAGCTGTGCACAGTCGTAGTGCACCAGGAAGAGGTTGTCCCGCAGCGTGGCGGCCGTGATGTTGCCTCGGACACAGGATCTCCCTGGGGGTGTGTGCGACCCAGGCTGGTAACCGGGGCCTGGGCCAACCACCACTGCCGGCTCCCAGGGCGCCCCCCCCCCCTTTTTTTTTTTTTTTTTTGAGACAGAGTCTTGCTCTGTTGCCTAGCAGCAGGGCATCAAAGGCTGGAGAGTAGTGACATTGATCTCGGCTCACTGCAACCTCTGCCTCCCGGATTCTAGCGATTCTCCTGCCTCAGCCTCTTGTGTAGCTGGGATTACAGGTGCGCGCCACCACGCCGGCTAATTTTTGTATTTCTAGTAGAGATGGGGTTTCGCCGTGTTGGCTGGGCTGGTCTTGAACTCCTGACCTTAAGTGGAGTCCTCTTGCTGCTTGGGCCCCAACGGGGCTGCTGGGGGATTATAGCGTCTGAGCCACCTGCTGCCCGGATTTTTGTGTTTTTTTTTTTGTTAGGTGGAGTCTCACTCCATCGCCCAGGCTGAGTGCAGTGGCATGATCTCTGCTCACTGCAACCTCCACCTCCCGGGTTCAAGCGATTCTCCCTCCTCAGCCTCCCAAGTCGCTGGGATTATAGGCATGCACCACCACGCCTGGCTAATTTTTGTGTTTTTATTAGAGACGGGGTTTCCTCATGTTGGCCAGGCTGGTCTCGAACTCTGGACCTCAAGTGATTTGCCTGCCTCGGCCTCTGAAAGTGCTGGGATTACAGGTGTGAGCCGCCGCGCCTGGCCCAGGCCCCCTTCCTTACCCCTTCCCCTCCACTTCTGACCTTGGTCAGACCTTGGCTTTCCCAGAGTTCTAACCAAGAACTTGGCCAAACGACTTCTCTGAAGTCAGCCAGGCCCGAGGGAGGAGCCGGACTGGGGAGGTGCAGCGTCCCAGGCCACAGTGGCCATACTGACCTGTGCTGAGCCTGGGCCTGGAGGACACCAGTTTGGTCTTGGACTCCAGGAAGCTGGTGACGAAGCGCCTGGCCTCATGCTGGCTGAGCCTCCCTGCCCGGCATGCCGCCACCATGCTACTGAAGAAGCCCAGGCCCACGGCCTGGCAGGGCAGGTGTGGGCTGAGGTTGGTGGCCCGGGCAAGGCTCGCTTGTGTCCACCCTGGGGCCCCCTCCTACCTCCTGCACCTGTGCCCACAGGTGAGGGCTGATGTATGTGGCCAGGGAACCCAGGGCCTGCAGCCCCTCCAGTGTCCAGGAGCCAGGGGGCCTGGTACACAGAAAGGGGCGCTGTGTTGGGTCCAGGGCAGGCCCCCCGGGAGCCCCTGCCCCTCCATGGACACCCAGCAGGCAGGAGGAGCACTCAGTAGGTGCTTGACCACCCAGACCCCTGACTGGCACCCACGGGAGGGGCACCCCCCCACAGCTAGTGGGGCAGCACCCCGACCCTCTGCCCCCTTCGCTGCAGGACCCGGTGAGGTTGAGGCCAGAGGTCAGATGTTAGTGGGCTGTGGACATCAGTGACCTCTTGGGCCGACCCCAGGCTGCCTCCCATCTCATCCCCGCCTCCTCGCCTGGCCCCGTGACCCCACCCACCCGAGCGAGGTCTTCCCACCGGCCAGCAGTGAGTTGAGGGCAATGCGCTGGGCGGTGGTCAGCCGGGGGCAGCGCTGCAGGTTCTCCAGCACGTGGGGGTCCGCAGCACTGATGCTGGACGCGTCCATGTCACACACCAGGGCCCCGAGCAGCGGCAGGTTGGAGGCGCTGAGCTGTGGGCGGGCCCCCGCCTGCAGGGCCAGCAGGTCAGCACCGAGCAGGAGGCTGCCTCCAAGGCACCGGGCCCATCCCGCCCAGGTGCCCACCAGGCAGGCTACAGCCGCCCCCCACGTGCCCCAGCCCACCCCGCCCAGCGCCCACCAGGCAGCCCACAGCCACACGCTGCAGGGCGACCCTCTGGTCGGGTAGATGGCTCAGCAGCTCCACGTCCCCCTGGGCGGCGCGGCGGATGAAGGCCCGGCAGTCAACTTCCCGCACCTGGCTCAGGCTGCAGGTGAGTGTGAGGCTGTCAGACTGACGGGGGGCGGGGCCGGAACTCCCAGCAGCCCTGAGATGCCCCTGGGGTGTTGAGGGCCCCCAGGACTCCTGTGGCTGGGCAGGGAGGGACACTCACTTGTAGAAGAGCAGCAGGTTGGGCGGGTGGAGCGTGAAGTCGTCCTGGAGGCCGCACCGTGATGCCAGGTTGGCCAAGCAGCTGAGCTGGGCAGGAGGGCGCTGGTCACTCCTTCGTCCACTCTGGACTCACTGTGGCAGCCCGTGGGCTCCCTTCCCCTCTGCACGGGCCTCAGGACCCAGTCCCCACCCACTTCTTGGGCCCCATTTCCCACATGTCGGGTCCTCCCCGTGGCCACCCGTGCCCACCCCTCCGCCTGGAGGGGAACCCCGCACAGCAGAACAGGCCTCCAAACGGCCGCCCCCGGCCCCTCCGCCGCCTTCCCGGCCCCCGGCCCCTCCGCCACCTCCCCAGCCGCCAAGCCCCTGTGCCACCTCCTCACTGGTGGAGTGCTGAAGTGTCTGGATGCTGGGCGGGTGTGGATGATTGCCTATCCCCACCAAGGAGGCTCCACAATGCCGGGGTTGGGGGTCTCCTCCAGTGCAGCCCCTTGGCAGCTTCCCAAGTGGACCCTGGGTGGTGCCCCTTGGCTCCACCTGACAGCCTCCTCCTGGCACTGGGGCTCTGCCAGGCCCAGCCTCCGCCCCTCCATGCTCCCTGAGGCTCTGCTCACTCCTCTCAGCCTATGCAGGACGCTGCCCAGCCTCAGCCACCCCCCACCTAGGCTTGTCTAGCCTGGCCTTTGAGGTCATTTCAAGGGTTTTTAGCCCATTCCTCAGAGGGCCGTTTGCCTGATTTTATGTCAACCAAGCACCTGGAACATCCCGTGCGTATGAGGAGGGGCTTTGAGGCAGACAAGGATGGCCCCAGAGTTTTGTGCAGCCCCCACCAGGGTCTCATCCCTGAGGAGGAGCCCACTCAGGGTGGGGGCTCGGGGACCCTCCTGCAGCCTGAAAGGAGCCCCGGGGAATGGAGCATGGGCTGCCAGCCTCCTGCAGGGCAAGGTCCTCCTGGCTGAGAGGGAGGGGAAGAAAAACCCTGACTCACAAACACCCAGAATGCCTGTGAGCTGGAACAGAATGTTCAGCCTGTTTGATTATCAAAAGAAAGGCAAAAAGCTGGCCAGGTGTGGTGCAATATGCCTGTAATACCAGCGCTTTGGGAGGCTGAGGACGGCTGATTCCTTGAGCTCAGGAGTCTGAGACCAGCCTGGCCAACATAGTGAGACACCCGTCTCTAAAAAGAATTAAAAAGTTAGGCCGGGCGCCATGGCTCACGACTGTAATCCCAGCAGTTTGGGAGGGTGAGGCGGGCAGATAACCTGAGGCCAGTTTGAGACCAGCCTGGCCAATATGGTGAAACCTTGTCTCTAGTAAAAATACAAAAATAGGCTGGGCGCGGTGGCTCACGCCTGTAATCCCAGCACTAAAATTGGAGAACCCCGAGGGGGACCGAATCACACAGGTCAAGGAGCAGGAGCATCCTGGGCTAACAAACGGTGAAGACACCCGTCTCAATACTAAAAATAACAAAAACTAGCCGAGCGAGAGTGCGGAGGCGCCTGTATCCAGCTACCGGTATGAGGAACTAGGCAGGAGAATGCGTGAAACCTGGGAGGCGGAGCTCGCGTAGATTGGCAGACCATGCGCCACTGCACTCCAGCCTGGGTGACACAGCGAGACTACACCGTCTCAAAAAAAAAAAAAGAAAAAGAAAACATTAGCCGAGCATAAGAGCTGGATTGCCTCGGAGTCTCACTACTTGGAGGCTGAAGCAGAGAATCGCTTGAACATCAGCAGGCACAGAGGTCTGACAGTGGCCTGCGAGATCCACCCATTACACTCCAGCCTGGGTACAGAGAGAGACTCCATCTCAAGCACAACGTCCCAGCTACTGGGAAGGCTGAGGTAGGAGAATTGTTTGAATCCGGAAGGCAGAGGTTGCAGTGAGCTGAGATGGTGCCACTGCACTCCAGCCTGGGTGACAGAGTGAGACTCTGTCTCAAAAATACATACATAAGAGAGAAAAAACAGACTCTGTGGCAATAGGATACCAAATTATAAAAGAGACCTACGGCCGTGCCAGGCAGAGGGGAGGCAGTGCCCGCTGGCCCTCCCTCCTTCCCTCCTGTGGCCTGCTTGTCTGAGTTGAAAGCATTCCTATTTGCTGACTCCATGCTTTACTTAGGGCTTTATTCCTTTAACCGGTTACAAAGGAAAGAGTCTCTGAATCCACCTGTGACTTATAAGCCCCCAGTTTGAGATATCCTGCCTTTTCACGGAGAACGGGTTGATGTCTGCCTACCCCGTGTTCTCTGCCTCTTTGCCTGTCACTCCTACCTCCCCGCCTGTCACTGCTACCTCCCCGATGCCTAGAAAACCGACCCGCAACCTGCCGGCCTCAGGTGCGCTCACACCTCTTGAGACTTTCCTCATATTGCTCAGATAATCCTCTAAACTATTTCACTGTCTGGTTTTCCCGGGAAGGAATGGAGGTCTTTCTGCCTTTCCCTTTTCCTGGATGGCCCCTCACAGGCCAGGATCCTGCAGCCCATGCACGGAGAGGCCAGTGGGCTGTAAAATCCACTCTGGGGGCCCGGAGTATGTACCCCAAGTCGGGCACTGTTCCCCACAGCGGTGGGTGGGGAGGGGAGGGTGAACCCTCGCCCTCACTGCGGACACAGGGTGGAGCATCTGCAGGGAAGTTGGCTGAAAAGTCCTGGAAGTGGGTAAGCGTGGGCAGCACCCGAAAGCCACCCCGCCTCCTGGGTGGACCCTCCCGTCCTGGGGGGCTGCACACCCCGTCCCGACTGTGGTCACACTGGGGCCTGCCCCAGCTCTCGCTTAGCTGTCCCTCGCCTCTCACACCGGAGCCCATGTGCCTTTCCCTATCCGGGCCCGTCCCTCATAGCCTGGCCCACCCACCCACCCGCACTCCCCCGCTCACCTGCCAGGCCTGGAGGGGGACCTGCAGCAAGGCCAGCCTCTGGATTAGGGCTGAGAGCTGGTCCCGGGGCAGCTGACCGGCCGGCTGGCACCAGACGCCTTGCAGCAGGGAGCAGTTGGCACTGGGCAGAGAGGAGGGGACAGTGGCAGGGAGGGTCTGGGAGGGGTGGAAGCAGTTGAGCGCGGCTGCCCAGCAGAAGGGCACGGGCTGCACGCAGCCTGCAGGACCAAGGTCCGACTCCACTGTCCCCCAGCACTGAGGGAGGGAGAGCGGGAGGTGGTGCCCCCCACAGGCAAGATCCTGCTTCACTGACTCATTCACTCACTCATTTTCACTCATTCACTCATTTTCACTCATTCACTCATTTTCACTCATTCACTCATTTTCACTCATTCACTCACTCATTTTCACTCACTCATTCACTCATTCATTTTCACTCACTCATTCACTCATTCATTCACTCACTCATTCACTTATCATTTTCACTCACTCATTTTCACTCATTCACTCATTTTCACTCATTCACTCACTCATTTTCACTCATTCATTCACTCATTCACTCATTCACTTATCATTTTCACTCACTCATTTTCACTCATTCATTCATTCATTCACTCAGTCATTCACTCACTCTTTACTCATTCACTCATTTTCACTCATTCACTCACTCATTTTCACTCTCTCATTCACTCATTTATTCACTCATTTTCAGTCATTCACTCACTCATTTTCACTCATTCCCTCATTCTCACTCATTCACTCATTCACTCATTCACTCACTCATTCATTCATTCTCTCCAGAGCACCCTGTGGGGCCAGGCTCTCGGCTGCACGCAGGGCCTCAGGTGTGGCCCCTACCCAGACCCTGGGGCAGCACTTCCTCCTGAGGCCAGGTCCCAGGTGGCCAGGAGCTCAGGCTGCTCCCTGACCACCCCTGCTGGCTGCTGAGGCACCTGAGGAAGAGGCACCCCCACCCAAGGCTTCGGCACCCGTTGGGCAGCCCTGGGGAAGCCGTCTCCCCAGCCTTCCTTATGGTGTGACTCTAATCCAGTCCAACACAGAGCGGGCCTTGTGCCACTCAGGACCCCAGCCCTGCCTCACAGACGCCCTGGTTAGTCAATTGACCAGCCTGTCACTGTCACCAACTCTGAAGGATGGGGAGGAGGCTGAGCCCAGCACGAGGCTCCAGGCAGCGCGGGGAAACCACAGTGTTCTCTAGGGTGGGCAGACGTGGCTGGGCCTGATGGTTGAGGCCTCGGCGGTGGCCGAGGGACCCACACCCGGCCGTGTAGGTCCAAAGCTGGACACTGAGTCATCTCAGGGCCCCCCAGGGTGGAGCAGGAGATGACAGCCTCAGCAGCAGACTGCCGGCGGCCACCCCCAGACCCCTCCCCATCCCCTAGTCAGACCCCTTCCCCAGCCTAACCGAGAAGCAGACCCCCACTGCAAGAGGGCTGCACTCACCTGGCCCACAGGTTGGCCCCACTGGCATCCAGCCCTCCTGGGGAAAGACCCTTGACTTGGGGCCCAGAGCAGTGGGCGGCGAGGGACAGGAGGAGGGTGAGGCCCGAGCTCTGCAGGGCACCTGGAATAAGGCGGGCTGTGAGGGTCCTGGTGGGAGCAGGGGCCGGGGCATCTGGGTCCCAGGGTGGACCTGTGACCCCCGCCATGGGGGCCTCCCTGAGACCAGAGGACACGGAGGAACTTCTGGAGCCCCACAGCACTGGCCACCTGTGCACAGCCTGGGCCTGAGTGCGGGGCGTGTCTGGTGGTGTATGCACAGGTGTGAGGCTGTGGACGTGTGTAGGCATGCACGTGTAGGTGACAGTGTGCACGGGTAGGTGACAGTGTGCACGGGTAGCACAGGCGTGAGGCTGTGGATGCGTGCAAGCACGCACAGGTGACAGTGTGCACGCGTGGGTGATGGTGTGCACGTACAGGTGACAGTGTGCACACGTGGGTGATGGTGTGCACGTACAGGTGACAGTGTGCACACGTGGGTGATGGTGTACACGTACAGATGACAATGTGCATGCGTGGGTGATGGTGTGCACGGGTAGGTGACAGTGTGCATGGATAGGTGACAGTGTGCACAGGTAGCACAGGCGTGAGGCTGTGGACGCATGCAAGCACGCACAGGTAGGTGACGGTGTGCACATGTAGGTGACTGTGCATGTGTAGGTGACAGTGTGCACGGGTAGGTGACGGTGTGCACTGGTAGGTGACGGTTGTGTGTATGAGTCTGGCGGCATATGCACATGTGCACCCGTGTTGCACACGTGTGAGATGGCAGGTGTATGTGTGAGCTCCTTCTCCTCTAGCCAGATGCCCCGTGGCTCTGTGTCCTCACAGTGGAGCCCTGAGACCCCCAAGACAGAGGAGGTGTGGGGGCAGAAGCCACCTTCAAGGGTCCCAACTGCTCAGTTCTGCAGTGGGGGTCACAGCAAGGCATCCTCGCAGGAACTGGGGGCCCAGCCCATGTTCCTGCTTTGGAAACCCAGCCCAGGAAGGGGGTTCTGGTGCAGGGGAGCCCCCTTATCTTGCTGGCCCTGGGGAGACCATGTGGTGAAGTCTCTTCTCCAGCAGGCATAGAGCAGGAGTCGCCACAGCCCACACAGATCTGCCCACGGCCTCCTGGGCTGCTGGGGTCTGGCCCACCCCTCTCAGGGAGGGTGAGGCACTGGGCAGCCCTGGGCATGGCCAGGGTCCCTCCCCACCCTAGCCTTAGAGCCTGGCCCTGCCTGTGCCCGGGCTGCCCAAGAGAACGGTGTCTCCACTCACCCCTGCCCCCACCGTTTCCCCAGAAGCCACATCCAGCTGCCTGGGCCAGGAGTGGCCCCTTCTAGCCAAGCTTGCCTGCCCTACCTCACCCTCCCAGGACCCCCATGCCTGCTGGGGTGGGCTGGGCTCACTGTGCCCTGGCAGCACCCCCCCGGCCGGCTGCTGCTGGGCAGGGCCCACCTCCCCCTTCCTTGGCTTGGGACAGACCCTGGCTCAGGAAAATGGGGTGGCCAGGGCCCTGGGCACTCTCACGTCTGCGGGATGGTTTTGCCACGTGGGCCTGGCACTCTGGAGGCCCCCCTTCTGCATGGAGGTCTCGTCTCACCCACTCTGGGGCCCATGTCTGTGCGGTGGCGTGTGCTGGTCATCCTGGCTGAGACGTTCCAGGGCAGGAAGGTGCTGGGGCCACGGGCAGTGGGTCCAGGACTAGCTGGAGAAGTGTGACACAGGCAAGACACAGGTGAGAGACACAGGCTGGCCCCACACTGCCTCCCACCCCCTGGGGTGTGGAGAGGGAGGGTGCAGTCTGGGTTCACCCGGGGCGGCGGGGCCAGAGCTGCGGCTCTCCCACCTTCAAGGGGGAAGGATCCCATAAACAGTAAAGTGCAGCAGAGGGACCAGGAGCCGGCGAAACCCTGGGCCTTTCTTATCACAGGTGGGGGCCTAGGGGACCCACGGGTTGCTGCGTCTCCAGCCAACAGCGAGTGCCTCAGGCAGCCTCGTGCACCCCGGCTTTGTCCCCACACCCAGCCGCCCTGGCAGCTCGCTTTCCCTCTTTAAGCCCCAGATATCCGGCTCTGTCGCTGAAATCTGGCCCCCAGTAGCAGCTGGGGTAGCCTCAGCCACGCTGGAAATGGAAGCTGCAAGGCCAGAGGAGTCAGGGTCTCCGTACTGCTGCGGGCCACCGCCTCCTCCTGGAACCGGCCTGATGGCTTTTGGGCACCTCTGGGCCTCCTGACTGTGGCCCAAGAGGGAGACAGGGAGGCTGCCCCACGCAGAGGCAAATGCAGCGGCTTGGGACCGGCCCTGCGGTGGGCTGGTGGTGGCTCCCACCCGCCCTTCTCACCTTAGCAGAAACCCTGGGTGCGGCGGGGGAGGTGCTACCGGGCTGTGGGGTGGCTGCTCTGGGCAGGGAGTTGCGGATCAGGTGCTCCAGACGCAATCCCAGCCCGCCAAGTGCATCAGCTGCTGCTGCTGAGCGCCCGGGTGCAGAGACGGTGCAGGGGGGATGCTGGGGTCCCTGCTCACCTCCACGCCGGCCTGGCAGGCGGCATGGGACTGCCCCGCCCCGCCCCACTCCCACAGTGACGCCCGCTTGGCAGTCCTGTGGGGGAGGCCCAGGCTGTGCCCGGTGATGCACCGTGTCAGCCCCTGGGGACCTCGGGTACAACAGGCACCTACTCCCTTCCCCCACAGCAAAGGCTGAGCTCACAGCTGGCAGCGGCCCAGCTCATGCTCCTCCCTGCCCACCAGGGCTCTGCTCTGCAGTCTCTGCGCCCCAGGGGTCGTGCTGCACGCCTGCATCTGAGTCCGTCATGTTTGCTGATGCCTGCGTGTATAGGTGCATCTCGGGCCTCCTGGTCTGTGTGCCCAGGAGCATGGACACGGACACACTGTGTCCCTGTGTGGGGACATCAGGCACACAACGACCCAATGCAGTGGCCAGGCATGGTGACAGCTGCGGTCATTCTGTGGGTACCACAACACAGAGCTGGGCAGGCAGGAACACCCGTGTGAGCACTGTGGGGCTCCACCAGGCAGGCCAGGGCGGGAGGACAGACAGGAGGGAGTTCCCAGCCCGCCTGCCAGGCTTCTCCCCTCACTGGGACGGGGTGCTGGGTGTCCCAGGCTGAGCCCCAACCTGGCCCACCTACCCCACCTCTCATCTTGGGAGGGGCTCAGCCCCTGGTTGGCAGGACCACAAGGGCTCCAAGACCCTGGGATCCTGCAGCTCAGGTTCAGCTGTGGCATGACCACCCCCTGCACCAGACCTATGGGTGCCCAGTGAGCCAGCCCCATGGCCAAGCTGAGACTTAATCCCTGCTCTGGGTCTTGTGGGGGCTGACAGCGGGGGGACTGGTGGGTGACCGCTCCCCAGGCCTGTACAGGCCCACGGGAACCCAGGTGCCCCTCTGAGAGCTCCAGGCTGACACTGAGGCATGGGCACCACGAGGGACGGCACTCAGGAGGCCTGGCTTGTTGAGGAGGGTCCGGCTCAAGTCAGGCCTTGAAGGCCTCTTGGCCGGCCACCAGCTGGGCCAGCCCAGCTGGACACAGCGGCTCCAACAGCTGCAACCGGTCGCAGTTAGGGGCAGTGAGGTCAGCAGCCCCCAGTCCAGAGAGGTGGGGTCCTGTGGGGCAAGGTGGGGAGACAGTCCCACTGGAGAGGAGAGCCGTGCCTGGCTCCGACTTGGGCTGATTCAGACAAGGACCAGGAAGAAGCTCGGAGACAAGCCAGCCCTGGGGGAGGGGAGGCCGGGGCCAGGCGCCGAGAGTGGACACATCCCCGGGCTGGCCAGGGAGGGGCCTGGAGAGCGACGGGTGTGCTGACCGGGAGAGCTTTGTTGCTGCTCTCTGTTGGGGTCGCCCAACTGGTGCTACTTGAGGGTTATGTGGTCTCTTCGGATCTGCACCAGCCCCTTCCTTTACAGATGAAGAAACTGAGTCATGGGAGCAGCAGCAGTGAGCCCAGGGCCTGTGGCCTCGCCTCAGGGACTCTAGGGCTAGAACCCGTATTTCGGCTGAGGGCACGGTGGCAGCTGCCTCCGGTCTGGGGCCTAGTGGGGACTCCGGGTCTGGAACCCGTGTCTTGGCTGAAGGAACAGCGGCAGCTGCCTCTGGTCCAGGCCCTGCTGCTGTCACTGCTGGGGTCCTAACCAGGGTTCCAGGGCTGGCCCTGGAGCTGGACAGTGGCAGGCAGGGGCCAGGCAGACCTGACACCAAGTGCTGGCCCATGAGACACCCCTTCCACAGAGCTCTGAGACGCGGGGGGCCAGGCCGCTCTCTGGCCCCAGGCCTGGGCTGACCCAAGGGCCTGGACTCTACGAAGGTCCCTGGCTGGGCCCAGCTGGGTGTTGCCTCGGTTCTGGTTGTGGGGGCTGGGGGTCATCAGGGGCCTGCCCAGGCCAAAGCTGCAGAGTGCTTGCTGTCTGCAGGAGAGGCCAATACGAGCCAGAAGCACTGTGTCTGTCCCGGGTCCTGCTGGGACCTCAGGGCAGGAAAGAGAGCTAGGAAGGGTCTGGGTAGCCAGACCTGTCCCTCGGAAGCCCGGCTTTGGACACGTTCACGGTCACCCTTGAAGCCAGTCAGTGAGCATTTATTTGGAGTCCCTGGAGCCCTGCTGTAACCAGGAGCCCGGGCTGTGGCGTGGGGGACAGAGGAGGTGAGACCTGGCAGGCCCACAGCTCCCAAGCTGGGGTCTCGGAGGCAGAGGAACAATGCATGGCTATGTGGGAGCCAGGCAAGCGGTGACGTGGCAGAACTGTTAGCAGGGGCCTGGGAGACTGCAGCAGACTGGTGCTCACGGCGGATATGAGTTAGGGCGTGCGTGGCAGGGCCTTGGCCATGGCCCCTGACCAATGTCTGTGCAGCAAGCACCACACTGAGCTCAGAATCTGGGCGGAGAGGGCGTCACAGATACAGTGAGGCCGAGGCACACACGGCCGGGCCTGCACACTCCAGCCCAGCAGGAACTGTTGGGTCTCGGGCGGAGGCAGCCGAAGGCAAGAGGATCTGCAGAGCAGTGAGGGGCAGAGGACACAGGGACCAGATGGGTCTCCCAGGCCAGGTGAGCTCAGAATGGCCCTTCCCAGCCCCTCTAGGGGATAGGCTGGGGCCAGTAGCTGACTGGGCCCAGGAGTGGCCCACCCTGGAAGCAAAGGTAAGGCCAAAACCTGGCCCTGCCCCTTCAGTCCATAAAACTGACACCCCTGGGGTGAAGCTTGGGATCCAGAAGCTATTCCAGGAGGAGGGAAGGACCTCGGTTTCTCCCGGGCCACACGGGTAGGAAGGTCCTCAGGATCCAGCATCAGTCCCACGGCCGCAGTGCGATGTCGTCGCCTGTGATCACGGCTGCCTGGCGCCCCCTGCCGGCCCCACCTCAGCCCTTCCCCGCAGGCCTGGCCAGGGCAGCCCAGCGGGCCTGATGTTCCCGGGCACCTCGAGGCCCCAGAGCTGGTGATCACACGCTTGCTCGTCCGTCTCCCTAGAGTTCTGCTGTGCAGCCGCCACCCCCCGCCCCAGCCCCACGGCTCTCAGCTGTCCGGCTCCAGCGTCCACTCTGACAGCCACTGCAGGCAGGGGCCCCGCTGTGCCTCAGTCTCAGGGGGCTTGGTGGGGGGTGGAGGGGGCCGGCCAGGCCCAGGCAGGAGTGTGGAGGGGCTGCCTGTCCTGGGGCCCCTGTCCTCGGGGTCAGGGTCAGGGGTGGCCCGTAAGGCCTGCACAAGCTGGTCCAGCGGCTGCAGCAGGGTGTGGGGGCTCCAGCAGGCGTCCAGGGAGGGCAGGAAGGGGTCAGGCGTGCAGACCTCTACACACTCGGCGTCGGTGGGGATGCGCAGGTAGAAGGCGTGCAGCATCATTCTGAACGGTCGGTCCTCCTGGCCCGAGGGCTCTCCGTAGGTCAGGTCGCCCACCACGGGGTGGCCCAGGGCACTGCAGTGCACGCGCAGCTGGTGTGTCCGGCCTGCAAGGCGAGGGTGCCGCTGGATCAAGTGGGGGGCGGGGCTGCTCCACACGGACCTCCCTGACCAGGCCCCACCTCCTGTCATGACCCCACTGCAGCCTTGGAGCAGCCCCTTGGGGTGGAACTCTCCCTGTCCTCTGCAACGGGCGAGGACATCAGTGTTCGGGACAGGAGACTGCATTCAGGTCACCACTGATGAGGACAAGGCCGGGGTGGCACTTGGTCCTGGAGAATCCAGGCCAGTCAGACCCCCCAGGACTCAGTCAGGAGCCAGCAGGGACCCTGTGTCAAGGGAGAAGCTGAGAGGCTGCAGAACGTAGAGTTAAGAACACAGGAGTGCTTGTTACCAACTCTGCCTTGATGCTCAGGGTGGCCCAACACGGGCTACGTGGCCCCGTGTCTCAGTTTTCCTTCTGTCACCACCAGGACACCGCCCACCCCAGACACTGCCAACCCCAGACACACCCGTGAGTGGCTTCAGCAGCACTTTGGAGACAGGATCGCCTGCGTACAGCCCGTGTTCCAGAACCACGAGCTCCGTGAGGCTTGGCTTTGGGTTCTCACAACCTGGGGCGCAGATGGCATGTGTGAGGTCAGCGGGACCAGCCCGAGGCCCAGGCTCACCCACCCTAACCCACGATGCCCGCCCAGTTGGTCCCTGCCTGCCCAGGCCCACCCCAACCCACAATGCCCGCCCAGTTGGTCCCCGCCTGCCGCACCCTGCGTGCCCTCGATGCACATGGTGTGGGCCCGGCCTTCCGTGCCGTTCCTGCCGATGGCATGGCTGATGGTCACCCGGCTCTCCTGGATGTGCCCCCGCAGCTGCAGGACAGGGGGAGTCACACAGCTCACGGGGCAGCCCGCCACTGCTGGGGAGCCCACCTAACACCAGGCAGCCACGTGGAGCTTGGTGGGAGGCTCTGAGCCAGGGCCTGCCCAAGTGGGGTGGGAGTCCTGAGTCCCCACGCCCCACCCCAGGACTGACCAGGTCTTACCAGTGCCAGGTAAGCCTTGGTCACGCGCCGCTCCTTGAAGCACCTGTATGCACTGCCGGCGGCTGCCTTGTTTAGGGCCACACACAGTGCCCCGCTGGTGGAGAAATCCAGCTGGTGGCAGAACCTGGGATGGGGCAGAGTCCAGCGTCTGAGCCACTTTCCTCCACAGACGCTGCCGTGGGGCTGTGGCCGCCCCACCTACCTGAACCCGTAGCAGGTGTCTGGGTCGGCCAGCTCCGGGAAGCGGTGCCGCAGCTGCTTTTGTAGCGTCAGAGTCTCCCGCCACGCCTTGCTGTCAATGCGAACGTCCCAGTGCTTGTTGACCACCAGGAAGTCGCGGCTCCGGTACACGATGGACAGGTTCTCCACGCTGCCCGGCTCCATGGCCGGCCTGCCGAGCCACGCGTGGGTGCGTGTGCTGTGAGCACGTGGGGGGCGCCCAGTCCAGCAGACAGAGGTCCCCGCACCCCCTCACTCGGGCTCCGGTGCGAAGCCACAAGCCAGGTGCGCAGCCCTACTATGCACCTGCATCCTCAGTCCCCAAGATCAGGCCGGGGCGTCAGCTGGGGGATCAGGGAGTCAGCCTGGGACGTGCCTGACCCAAGGCTGGAGAAACAGCCCGTTCCGAGTCTGCCCCACAGAGCCTCCCCAAAGACCCTCCCCTCCAGGGGATGCACATGACGGCCTCCGCCCGACGGTGGGGGCGGGGAGGGGCAGCAGCACTCCCGGGGCCCGGCAGCCAGGTCTGCCCGGGGCGCGGGGCAGGGCTGGGGCCTCCTCGCTCCCCGCAGCCCGCGCAGACCGGCGCCCCGCACAGGCCCGGTGGGCAGGCCAACTCCGGCTCCGAGCCCCTCCCGCGCC